CAGCTACTCGGGAGGCTGAGGCAGGAGAATTATTTGAACCCAGGAGGCGGAGGTTGCAGTGAGCCAAGATCACGCCACTGCACTCCAACCTGGTGACAGACCAAGACACCGTCTCAAAAGGAGACTGGACTCTGGGAGGGCCTGCTGACAGACAGGAGAGATGGAGGCAGGAGCATGGGCTTCTGGTGGCCCCAGCAGACCCTGCGGCAGCATGGCCAGGGGCCTCTGCAGGGAGGGATCTTGGCCAGGATGACGCTGCAGCAGGCCTTTTCCTGAGGCCCCCAGCCAGCCCGGCCCGAGTCCCAGCGTCCAATGATCCCTGTTCTACAGCAGCAGCTGGGGCCAGCCCCAGGCTCTCTTCCACTCCCGGCTTCTGAAAACAGGAAGTGGAGAGAGTTGTTTGATAAAACACTGCGGCAAACCATATCCTCTCTCTTCACCAAGGGAGTTTGAGGGAGTGCCAGTGTAGGAAGCATTAGAGCAGAGACCCCTATCCAACCACTGACCCTCACGTGCACAGCAAGACATGCTATGCTATGGAGACCCCCACAGTCACTTGGGGAGATCCAGTAGGTCCAGACTCCATTCAGAGATCTGTGGCAGCAGGTCCCCACTCCCAAAGGCCACGTGCCCACGGGTGGTCTCTGGTGCCTGAGACCCCAGTCTCATTTGCATCTGTGCAACTTTGAGTTTAAGTGGGTGCCACATCTCTGTATGTCCTCTTGAGTAGAGCCTGGGGTGGCAGCTGGCGTCAATCCCTTGAATCCCCTGGGAGCCACCCGGGAGACCAAGAGTCCCCAGCTCCCACTTGTCCCTGAGCTGCCATTCTCAGCCCTGTGGGAGGAGACAAAAAGCCCTGAAGACAAACCAAAAGATCAGGTCAGGAGGAGCTGGGGGTGTGGCATGAGCAATCGGGGCAGGGAAGGATGGACAGAGAGGGGAATGGAGGGAGGAAGGAATGAATGAAAGGTGAATACATGAACAAAAGAGAGAGAACGACCACGCCTCCCTTGCTTTAGTTTACAAAGCACTGGGATCCTCCCAAAAGCCTGCAAGACAGAACTTCTGGGAAGCAGACCAGGTGGCTGCAGGGAGGGGAGGCTTCCCCCGGCTTTTGTGGGCCCAATGGGAGGCAGGGGACAGGAAGGGGCATCCTGTATGTGTCCTCTCTGCAGTGGCAGCAGCGAAGGCCTCCCTTGGGCTGGGTTTCCTGGAAGAGGGTCAGGAAACACCCGCCGTGGTCCCTCTCCACCACACCCTCATCCCGGACACCAAGTATCAGTCGCTCAGCTCACGAGACCCAGGCCCTGACTCAGGGAGAGAGGATGTGAGGGGTGGGGCACCAGGCTCCCCAGGACAGAGAAACCCGAGATGTGGTCATGGGCTGGGAGTTGGGGCAGACTGGCTATGGTAGCATTGTGTGTACCCCAGCAGGCCAGTACCCACACAGGGATACTGGATACCCCTTATGACCCTGGGAGAAGACCCCAGCCTTGGAGAATTGGCCTTACTGAAGGGGCCTGCATCAGCCAGCAAGGTCAGGCGGGGCCAAGTCGGTTCCCACCCGGGATATGCAAATGGACCTCCTGAATCCTGGAGCCAGGTGTGGACTCACACACCACCACTGTCCCCAAGTCCCCATCTGCCCCACGGGCACACCCTGCCACCTGTTCTGTGCAAAGGCCCTGAGGCTGCCTCCTTGAGCCCAAGCCCTGCAGGCACTGAAGCCCACACACACACAGCTCCTGCTCCCTGGGCCAGTGCACGTGCGTGCACACACACACACACACACTCATACACACACACACTCTCCTTCTCCAGGAGAGACTGGCTGCCAAAGGTCACCTAGCTCCCTCCCACCTCTCACTCACCATCCAATATCCAAGCAGACCTTGGAGTCGGCAGCAACAGCAGCGTGCGCAAAGGCCTGGGGGCCACAGCAGGCCTAGTGTCGAGAGAGGACCGCAGCCAGCACAATGACAGCCAGTGCCAGCCCCAGCCCCAGGAGGTCCAGGCTGATCAAGGCCCTGCAGTCCCAGGACATGGCTCTGTGGCCCAGGAGGAGAGGGGAGGCTGGTGGGCAGACAGAGGGACAGATGGGTGGGCACATGAATGGACAAGAAGACACACAGATAGACTCACGGGTAATTGGACAGATGGACAAACAGGTGGGGACCGAAGACAGACACGAAAATGGATCAACAGACAGGCCAAATAGCTAGATAAAGAGAACAGTAAGAGGAGGATGGTCGGACAGACAATGGGACAGAGATGGCCTTAAAAATGAGGGCACAGACAGACAGTTCTGAACAGTGGGCTGCCAGATGGACAGATGGGTGAATGGACAGACGGCTGGCAGCTGTGGCGAGCTGCTGTCCTCCCCAAGTGCACACTATGGAGTGGCCAAACTCACGCCTCAACTTCTAGTTTTCAGCTCCTGCTTGTTCCTGGCAGGAGGCCAGGCAGCAAAGCGTCTGAGGGGAGTTTTCCTTCCCTAGAGGAGCCAGCTGCTGTGGTAACTCCCTCACTGCTGGCAGGTACCAAGGCCCCACCTGCCACTCACCAGAGGCCAGGGTCACACTGTCCCAATGTGCAGGAGAACTTGGCGCCTGCTGCACTGCGGTTGCAGGTGGGGGCAGGGCTCCCAGGAATCTCCACACCATTCCCGGGGTTCCCGGCAGCTCCGGGAAAGCAGAGCTGGGGCTGCTCAACTATCTCCCCTGGATCCAGCAAGGCTGCCACCTCCCAGAGTGGAGCCCCACTCCCCAGCTCCCATCTCTATCCCCTAACCCTCTTTGCATGGCCCAGCACAGGCAGCATCGAGGTGGAGCTGAACAGAGACAGAGGGAGAGGGACCCAAGGTGGTGTCACTTAGGACTTGGATTCAAGTCCCTACACTTCTGCAGCCTGGCCTGGGTCCCATAACGCCCCAGGGTGACCAAGGGCTTCCCGGTCTGCACAGAGGACAGCGGGGCTTGACAGCATCAAACGCTGATGATTACAAGACGTCCATGTGGGGAATGCAGACAGACCATGCCTCTAGCCCTTGGCACCTGGGACCATCCATCCCTGGGACTTGCTGTCCTGGAAATGCAGCGTGGGCCTCCAGGGAGGGAGGCTGTGCCGCCTAGGTGCCACGCCCAGCCTGCAGCTCTTCCCCACCCTGGCTGCGGGTCTGCTTCCCTGAATCCAAATCTGCTATTACTGTGCTGGCAGTGCAGCCTCTCTGGGGACACTGGCCTGGCCCTGTTCTCCCCAGGCCTCAGGGTGTCTAACTGGGAGGCAGCAAGGGGAGTGAAGACCCACTGAGGTGCTCTGTTGACCAGGCTCAGCAGGGGTGCAGGTGATGTGGGTTGGAATCCTTCACACGTGGCTCCTCCAGTCCTCCACACTTCCTTCCCAGCTGAGAACTGCCTGCTCCCGATGTCTACACCTGGAGTCTGGGACGCCCAACTGGGCAGCAGAGAAACTGAGGCACAGAGACAGACTGTGTCCTTACAGGCCACACAGCCTGCCAGG